ACCATATTTTCAAACATAAAAATTTCAACTAATTAAAATAGTCAAAAGTTAAAATAATTTACTAAAATAGTCAACTTTCCGAATGAGGCCAATGTTTGTACACGTCTAGCTAGAAGGTTAGGAGCTAATCTTTGCTAAATCCAAAAATTGATAATTTCTTTCTTGTTATGGGAATTTGTTAGGCCATAGAGACCTTTTGTTGAACTTATATATATAATTGTCTAATTGTAATTTTGTATATTATAAATACTTTAATGGAAAAAAAAATATTATAAAAAATAATTTATTTTCTTACTCTACTTTAACTTTCCCTCCAATTTTGTAATTATCAGTAATAATCAATTCTCTTAAATTTTTATAAAATTTAACTTCAAATAAATTTCATTTGAAACATATCTATTCAAACGGAACCTAAATTGACCTGGAGAAGAATAAGGGGTGAGAATTTCGTATTTCTAGATGGATCAAAAGAGTGATTTTGATAATATAAAAAAAGGATTTGGTTTGTCTCCAGGTAAAAGTTGAATTAGATCAAACAGTTAAAATCTCTGAACGATAAGAGTCATTAAACGGAAGACTCATACTAATAAGAGTTTATGAAAATATGGTACAGTTGAATTTTTTCAAAGACTTTTATCGATAAGAGCATTCTTTTTAACGACTCTTACTGATCAAAAATTTTAACCATCTAATTTAATTAAAATTTTAGTTGAAGACAAGTCATTCTCTATTAAAAACAACCATCTCCGCTGAAAGGAAAATAGAGGAACTCAACCACAGATGATGATATTTGGATGTTAACAATGCTGGGCCCACTGAGGAAATTGTGTTTGATTTTAGTTTTTTTTAATTCAGTTTTTTGAAAATTAATTTTTTTTATTTTTTGTGTTTTCTTATTTTTAGTGAATATTTTTAAAATTTTAAACATTTTTTTTTTAATTCTTTTAGATGTACCTTACTTAGATATATCTAAAAAGTAAAATATTTGTGAAAAACATATTTTAAAAGATTAATAAATAAACAAAAATATGAAATATATATATATATATTTTTATATTTGGTATTTAGTGAATTTTTTAAAGATTTTTTTCACAAAAAATATATAATTTTTAAGTGTATTTATGTTAAGTGTGTCTAAAAATTTTAAAAAATTGCTTAAAATATTAAAAAATTCAGTAAAAACAAAAAAATACGAAAAATAAGAAAGTAGAATTTCTTTAAAAGTGTTTTCTAAAAACTAAAAAACAAACAAGCTGAAATTAAGATTGTGGTATGCATCTTATTGTTTTTAGGAATAATTACCCTACAGTGGTGTCAAATAAAAAAAATAAATACATTAATAAAAATATTATAATTTTAATTATTAGTATGTACAATATTTATCATATTTTAGTATTTTTTTTTTCTCTAATCATCACTGATAAGTTATTTCTCCCTTCGTTTTTATTTTTTTTTAATTGTGTACCTTGTAACATTTTTCCATAAGTGTAAGATTTGTTCAATCCATTAAAATGATCAGACTATTACTTTCGACAGTAATGCTATGTAGCTCGAATCTGCCCTTTCCCGAATCTCCCCGAAATTAAAACGACGTCGTTTTCGTCATTTTGATTTTTTTTTTTTTTTTTTCCAGAAGAAGAAAATCAGAAAAGAAGAAGGAAGAAAAAGAAGAAGAGAAGGAAGAAGAAGAACTGGAGGGGCTATCAACCATTCATCTTCATCATCAACATCATCAACCAATTCAGATCCCAAAAAAAAAAAAAAACAAACAAACAAACAAAAAAAAAAAAAACAAACAAAAAAAAAAAAAAAAAAAAAAAAAAAACCCACGAAAATCGGGCTGGTCCGGAGGCGTGGCAATCGGCGACGAAGGCAGAGGCGGAGGCAGGGCGATCTGCGACGAGCTGAGCTACGACGATCGGACGAGCTGTGACGATCGGCCGGGCTATCGGCAGAGGCGGAGGGGCCTCTCTCTCTCTCCATTCCCCCTCCATTCCCTCTTCCCCTCCTCTTTCTCTTCTCCTCTCTTCTTCTCTCCCTCTCTCTCTCTCTATTTCGGGGGATTCGGGGAATGATTTTTCGGGGGGAAAAATCATTTTCCTACTTTCGATTTGTGAATTCATCACGCATTGTATTTTGATAATTCAATTAATTTATTATGTAAATATTTGTGTATAAATTATTTATTAAAAATATATTTATTTGATAATTATAGTTACATAGTTTTATAAACTTGTTTCCAAATAATAGAAAAACATAATTTTAAAAATAAATAATTATTTATTTTAAAGATAAATATAACAAAACTATGTAATTACAATTATTGAATTAATATAATTTTTTTATGAATAATTTAAAAATGAATAGAATCTAACAAAATTGAATTCATGCATAGGGCCATATTGGACAACTGTCTCCAATTAACAATTGGGAAATTTGAAATACATGAATCAGTGGAAAAAAAAAAAAAAAAAAACCACAAATAGACGTTTTTTTTGGTGTGCAATCCTGACATACAGAAAGAATTGCACCAAATACAAAAATGTATTTATACCATACATACAGCAAAATTACACCATCATAAAAAATACAATTTGTTTCCCACTAATAGAAATTTTTCTTAATAATTTGGTCTCCCTCAATTATGAAGTGGTCGCCCTCCATAGAATTTAACAAAACAACTCAAGATTTAAATCTTGTAACAAAATGAATCTTTAATTTTTAATTTTATTAGTTTAAAAATTAATATTTTGATTTATTTTTAATCTAAATTATTTGGTTATTTTTGTTAAGTATCATTATTGAAAATATATATTTTAGTCACTAAACTCATTGAAAATGAGTATTTTAGACATTTTTCATATACATACAATGAGTTTTATGACTAAAATAATTTTTTTTGTCAATTTTACTTAATGAAAATAAGAATAATTTAGATTGAAAATAAATTAAAATATTAAAATTTAAATTGATAAAATTAAAAATTAAAGATTTATTTTAGGGGCATTTACATACAAGTCTCATTTTGTGAACTTATAATCCATTAAGTTCTAGATAAAATTATTGCTCCTTCAAGTCCCATTAATTTTTAATAGACCAATCTCCACCATAGCTGCCAAACATCCATTGCTGTCTTCATTTTCTCTCTCTCCACAGTTGCAATTCGAAGTTCTATGCAACTTCAGTTTGACGGACATGGGTGATTTGAGTTCACAAGGATAATCTGGGTCTTGATTCGTCATTGATTAGAGCTCGATCAATCAATTTCGCAGGTCACTCTTCGATTTCGAATCTGGATTTCAGTTCGAGATCACGACTTCTGCCCTTAAATTCATCCGCGACTTGCATCAAACCAGTTTCGAACTGATGCGAAAGTCCTCTAACTCCAAGGCTTTACGGCTTGACAAGGGTTGACAAATACTTGCACACTCCAACTACTGTACGAGAACCACGGGTTGGGTTCTGATTTCTCTTTGCATAGAGTAACTCGCAATTTGATGACAGCATTACATACAACCTTCAAGGAAAGAACCTTGACTTCTTTCTTCTTTAGAGGAGCCTCACTCAGGGAATTTGCAGAGATAGATCGGCAAACTCTTGGTTTTCACTGAGTTCATAAATGCCATTGCCATTAGAGAGAGAGATATAGGGTTTTTTGAAATTGAGAACCTTCTCAATTTATAATATTCTCAATTTTAATCATGAAAAAAATTGAGAAATTTCTCAAAATTGATAATTATAAATTTTTTAGTTTTGATAATATTGTTAGTTCATACTAGAAAAAAAAAAATTGAGAAATTTCCTAGTTTTGATAATTATAAATTGAGAACATTCTCAGTTTTGAAAATTGAGAACATTCTCAGTTTTGGGATTAAGAGGCAAAACGTCTTTTTACTTGTACATAAGACTTATTGGTTCAAAATTTTTTTGATAGGACCTAAGCTATCACCAAATATGTAGATAGGACTTTTAGGTAATTAATCCTTTATTTTATTACAAGGCTTCCCTAACCACTAACGTATCCTATCTTTTTAAGGGTAATTATTGGGAATACCATGGAGTATAACATTTTTTTCCATAGTCTTCTAAACCAATTATGTAGCGAAAATTTTATCTGTAAAATATATTGACTAATATTTATTAGACAACTAGGAGATAAAGGATTTGTTATCATTTTTTATTAATTGGGAATAGTATGTAACGGTGCAATGACTGTTTATGTTTATAATCTTATCTTACCATATGACATGTCAAAAAAAATTGTCAGCATCATATTTAAAATATACATTAATTATGAAACCATTACATTAATATTGTGTTGACAAATCATCATAAAATTGTTGTTTCACAACACCCATGTCCCTTCCCCTATTTATATAATCATCTAGTTTTTCCAACATACTGTTGATGGTATGCTTGCCTATAATATTACATGTTTCGAGAAATAAAATGGGAAGTCATAAAATTCTTAAAATTATTGGTCAGATCAGAGCAAAGAGCTAAGAAATCAATACTCTCAATATATATATATATATATATATCTATATTAATTACAAATACAAGCATTACATTAAGGATTTGGGGACGCTGCTGCGCGGGTTGCGCAGCAGCATCTGTTGTGCGCAGAAATGGGCCTATTTTGGGGCCCATTTTGATAATCCGAGCCGTTCACATTTTAGAATACACCAAGTAGAACATATCTGTAAAAAATCAAATTAATCGGATATCGTTTACCCATTCATCTACTCACATTTCTATCTACAAAAATGAATAATAATTGTCATTTAAAGTATTAAAATGAATACAAATGTGAGTGGATGAATAGGTAAACGATATCCAATTAACTTGATTTTTTGCAGGCATATTCTACTTGATGTATTCTAAAATGTGAATGGTTCGGATTATCAAAATGGGCCCCAAAATGAGCCCATTTCCGCGCACTGCGCAGCAGCGTTCCCAAATCCTTACATTAAATTGGACAGTTAAAGTCTAACAAGAGCTAGAAAGCAAACAATCACCAAGTCTAACAACCACTATAAGAAATAGCTCAAACTTACAAATATCACAATAGGAGAGAAATAAACACTATAAGAAATATCAAACTCCTCTCCATAAGAAATAAACTGACAATCTCACACCACAAGATCACTAGGCCACAGCCCCTAGTTAATACTGCCAAAATAGCTGTATCACATAAAACATAAGATACTAAGAAAACTCGTCTAATTAAAAATAGAAATCAAATTATGCCCTTCATCAGTTGCTCCTTTTATACTAGAAGATTCTATTGCAGAAATTGCTCTGAGAAGACGAAAGATATTGAGAAATTCAAGCCTTCTTAATCGTGCCAAGAATGCAAAAATATATGCCAAAATATGTAACAAAAACTTGGTAAAAGGAGTCATGGAAAGAAATTGTGTGGGTGAAAATCTGACCACACTGCCCGTTTAGTGATCAGCTGGAGAGCACAGGCAGAATAGATGGCTTCAGCAACCTGTAACAAACAGAAAAGGCTCCAGCGGTAGTTCTTCCACCCGGGGGCACTCCGACGATCAAGTCAGTATATCTCTCAAAGATAATCAAGTGCTAAACTTAATACTCAAACATAAATTGCATACCTTAGACCCACGGGGGTGCCTCTCTTTTATAATACATTCAATCCAAGTCCTACTAGAAGTATGACTTCTACGAATTCCAATTCAGTGCTTACTTTGGACTCTTTAAGAGATAAAGATAAACTCCCTAAGAGCTTTATCCTTATCTTGATTAAGTCCCCTCTTTGTCTTAGGACTCTTGTCCCTTATCTGCTTATCTCGGATTCCGATATCTTCGGAGATAACCTCGGCAACTCCGAGATCATCTCGGCCTAACTACCTCGACACGTGGCACCTCGGCTGATACGTCGGCGTCACCATGCCACGTGTTGGTATTCAGAAAATATATCCCCACAATTGCCCCCTAGGTTCTATTACCTCGGCATTTTGAGGTGGTGGAACCTATATCGATTTTTCTTTTTGCACTGTGGTTAAGAGACTGTTTGGCCGAGATAATTCTTTTCCAAGCCGATGTGTTCGCTTCTGAGAATAAGAATCAAAATGTACTCCATCACGCGCATGAGCTGTCATGCACATCTAACCGTTCCTTTTACGTGCCTTGTCTTTATTGGAGCGTGTCTGTGACGCGCCTGAGAGCTGTCTGTCATTTGTCTGCGCCGTCTGACGCGTGCGTTGCTCTAGGCGTAATAATTGCCCTAATTTTGCCGCCGTTTCAAATTTAACAAAATTCTTCTTTGCCTCTATTTTTCCTTCACTTTTTCATTCTGATTTCTTGCTCTTTCTCTCTCCGAAAGCCCTTTCTTCTTCGAATCTGCCATTGCTTCGATCTCTCTTCTGGAACTGTCCTTAATCTCCTATTCTTGCGAAGCTTTCTTTGCTGTTGCAACCGATTTCTGGGCTCGGCGAACATTGCCCCGGCTTCATTTGTTCTGGTAAGATTCTGCTCTTCTCACTCTTAGTTCTCTTTATGTGCTTTCGTTTGCGTGTTGTTTTTTCTTCAAAGCCCTGGATTTGTTTGTATCTTGAATCGTGGTTACATCTTGAACACTTGCACTATTTCACCACTTTTCTTGCCACTTGTTCTTGATTGATTTTTTTTTCACTTTTTTGTGCCACTGTTCTTGATTTTTTTTTTTTTTTTTACTTCTGTATTTCTTTTGTTTCTGAGAACCTACCTCTGTTCTTGAATCTGAAATTTCGTCTTTGTTTTCTGTTTTTGGTATCTGCTCCAGATCTGTGCCTTCGATCCTTATCTACATAGTTCATAGATTTGGGATTTGTCTGTAGAACCTTTAATCTTTAGGGAAAACTGAAACAAACCGTATCAGTCCTTTCCTAGGTCTTTGCTGAGGTTCTTACAACCCTTCTTTAAACGCCTATCCTCTGAAACACATTTTTCTTAGCTTAAGCCGACATAATGGGTATGTGGAGGCATAGGGTAAATACCCCAACAAAACTAGAATACTTTAGGCAGGAATTCTCTATCCCAGCCGATGTTCATCTTAAACTAGCTGGGGATGGTGATACCATCATGCCCACAGACCATACGATACCCTTCCCTATAGTAGCTTTTACCGAATGTGGACTTCGGCTTCCACTTGATCCCCTTTTTCGTGAAGTTCTTCATTTCTACAGGCTGAACCCCATGCAACTTACTATCAACTCTTATAGGGTGATTAACGGTATTATAGCTTTAGCTAGGCAAGAGAATCTTAGAATTACCCTGGCCGACCTTCAATACTGCTATACCATGTGTCCCCTCAACCTGAAGGATAGGGGCTTTGTGTATTACCTTAAGCCGAGGTCGATCGAGTTCAAAATTGTGGCCGACCTCCCAGACTCCAACAAGGGGGCTGGGGATGACTTTCTTATTGCTTCGGGAAATTGGGAATTTGGCCCAGATGAAGATGTCCACCTCTTCCCTCTTTCTCGAACAATTAAAGAGGGCAAGGGTAAGAGCCTAGAGCCAACACTTGGTTGTTTTTATTTATTTAAGTCTTTAATAATTTTCTGTTTCTGACGTCTGTTTCTTTGTCCTGCAGATCTTCATCAGCCACTGAAAAATTTTCGCCAATCCTTTTTCCCAGGAAGAGATCTGAAAAGACTTCTTGACCTTTCCATCCATAAACGGAAAGCTCCACTGCTATTAAACTTCATCACCACATATAAATCCACATTGCCCGACGTCCCGAAAACAAAGAAGAAAAGCCTCTCTCCGCCTACTGCCACAACTGTAACTGCTTCTTCATCCCGAACAGATCAGGTATCCACCTCTGACCCAGCCGATCTACCATCCACTTCGGCCCCCTACTTAATACCAATCCCAGAACGCAAACGTCGACGAAGACTTGTAAAGACTGCCGAGATGGTTCGTTCAAGGCCTATCGTTCAAGATCTTCTTGCCGACCTTCCAACCGACGCTAACGCCGTTCCAACGCAATCAATGCCCCCACCAAAGCCGAAGAGAGTTAAAAAGGCTCAGCCCAAGGCCAAGGTTACAGATGCCGAGGCTGAGGATGCTTTGCCTATATCTAAACTGGCAGAAAGCAAAAAATCAACCTCTGCTTCCACCAAGAGGTCTGCTGAGGGCCAACCCTCAGGGTCTACACAATCAAAGAGGCCAAGGTCATCGTCTGCGACGGCCTCGGCGTCCAAGAAGCCCGACGTTCCATGGGCCCCTCAGCTAACTCTGGAGGATAGGCCTATTATGGCCAATGAAAGTGCCGACGATATTAACGTTGGTGTCGCCCTTAGCACTGCTCTCCTCCTCCCAAACGACCTGGAGCGCAATGCCGACCTCAGCGAGTATGAGAATTACGCTCTCATGCTCCAACACTCCGTTCAAGTAAGTGTTCCTGTTTGCACTTGTGATTTTTCCTTCTGTTTCTTTACTGAGAAAATTTTCTGATACTTCTATTTTCTTTCAGGCTATCCAACACGCCCATTCATTTTCAATGCAATCCTTTGAAAATCGTCAAAGATTGGTTGATATGAAGAGGGAGGCGTCGTCTCTGAAGAGGGAGATAAAGTCTCTTGAATCAAAAATGAAAAAACTGGAGGACCAGGCCGAGGCTGCAACTAAAGCCCAAACATTAGCTCTTGAGAAGGCCGAATCTGCTGAGGCTGTTAAAAAAGTTGCTGAGGCTGAGAAAAGAGAGGCCGAGGCTAAGAAGGCCCAAGCAGAGAAAGAACTCCAGCAAGCTCTGGCCACCAAAGAGGCCGAAGTCAAAGAGGCCAATGAAAAGGCCTATGCCCAGGGTATGGCCGACGTCACAGAGGATTACAAGCTTCAAGTCAGGCAGGCATGCAACAGGGGATTTTCCCTAGGTTGGATGTCCCTGATAAAAAAGCTTGATCTCCCTGTTGACTCGCCCTTTCGTAATGTCGATGCTATCCCCTTACCATTTCCTTCTCCAAGTCAGACTGAAGACGAATCAGAGACTGAGGCTGATGCTGAGGATGAGGATGAAGAAAAAAATGATGATGAAGCCTTGGTGAGGAAATCCAAGGATGCAGCTGAAGCCAAGTCCCCTCCTCCTGCTGAGCAGGTTATGGACTTAACCTTGGATGAGGGGGTGATGAGGTGGAGGAGGCAGCCAAGGAAACTGTCACTGGGCAGCTTTCGTCTGATCTTCTCTTGGTAGAAAGAAGTGTTGAAAAAACATTAGCAGAGATTGATGCCGAGATACAGGCGGAAAAAGTGGCCGACGAGGTTCCACCAGAATCGTCCGAGGTCCCAGTCCCTACAGTTGTTAATACTGAAGAATTTTGAAAAATGTCTTTTGTTACTTTTTTTCTGTATTTTCCACTTTGTACTCTTTTAACTTCTGGATAATGCAAAACTTCTTCTTGTGGCCGACGCAACTTTTTCAACATGTATCTGCAATTGTTCTTTCTATGGATATTTTTCTGTTGATTGCTTCTGCATAGTTTTATACTTAGAAATTTTCGCATGCTTCTTCACGTTGCTTCTTTTGTGTAATCTTCTCGGGGTTACATACCTCGGGTATAACTACAAAACTCTTACTTCGGCAAGATACTGACCTGCAAACCTTGCATAAATTTTAACAAGTATAAAGCATATACTACTTAATGTAAACTTTGCAAGCTTTTTCTCAAGTTTCGATAAGTATTAAACAGTGATCTTGGTCTATCCAACTTGTAAATTGCTACAAATTTCAACAAGTAGTAAACAATATACTTAGCCTTTACTTTAACCTGTAAATTTCTGTATACCTCAGCGGGTGATCATGTGTCGGCTTAACATAGGCTTGTAAATTGCTACAAATTTCAACAAGTGAAGATAAGGAATCAATCTAATTCCAACTTGTAAATTGCTACAAATTTCAACAAGTGAATTAAGGAATAATCTCGGCTTAACTTCAACTTGTAAATTGCTACAAATTTCAACAAGTGAAGATAAGGAATCGGCTTATTCTTTGCCCCCAATGTGACCTTGAGTTTTGACTTGGGTTCACATTATTTATGTCTTTAATAAACAACAATGCATAACTTTATCAATCATGTGTGTTGAAAGAATTCTGAAAAGACTTTATTGATGATATCGGTCAAAAAATGATGCACATCTAATGATAGAAAAATTTCAAATTACAAGTATTCCAAGGTCTGGGCAATGCTTTGCCCTCATTGTCCTCAAGCCGATAAGCTCCATTGCCTAATACTGAAGTAATTCTGTAGGGTCCTTCCTAGTTTGGGCCAAGTTTTCCTTCCCTGGGATCCTTCTTGTTCCCGACGACTTTTCTCAGGACTAGGTCGCCGACTTGAAAAT